TAAGCACCCCCCCCCTTTTTTTATTTCTGATGCAAATGCAACTTACGTGTTTCTTGACAACTAAGTTTTTGACCCCTTCCATGACAAATGAAGAGCCTTGTGATACGAGTTTTGAAAACATCGACACTGTTTTAGTTCCACCACCTTCATATTGGCTCGACATCTTTGTAAAGCTCCTGAAATTTAATAATTTATAATAAGGTCCTGGCACACCTGGTTTAATAATTTCCTGGCACAGTTCGCTCGAAAGCAATAAGGCCGCCAGTTGCCCTCGTTTTATATATATTTTTTAATTTCTCGCAACGAAATCTAAATAAATAAGGTCATGAAAATGTGAATTGTACACAATACATTACGTCTATTTCTGATAGAGGTTAAACGTTAGTTATTATTATTATAATTAACTACTTTAACAAGTGACGATAATCAGGATGTAATAGCAGCCTACAAATATTATTTGATTTAAAAGGTTGCCAGGTCGCTAGTCTTGAATAAGCGGACTCCACACAGAGCGGCAAATGCCTCGCGAGGAAACTTATCGCGAGGCGGCCGCGCGCGGTAAGTCCGAACCTCCTGAGTGCGCGCGACAAACGAATGAGGCGCCTGTGAGCAATTCAAAAAGCCGACACTGGATGGTTCGGGCGCTCGGTCGCTCGCCCGCGGCAGCGCGCACCCTTGCTTCGGCCGAGGCACGTCCACACTAACCGAGCTGCTTCGCGCGGCAAATACCTCGCGAGGCAGCTCGCTCTGTGTGAACGCGCCTGTTGTATTATGTACATAAATTATATTTTGGTTTGATCAACAATTTATTCTTAAAAAAGCTGGCGACGCACTCGCGAGCCCTCTGGTATTAAGAGTCTACGGGCAATGGTATCAGTTAACATCTGATGATAAATTTCAAAATGACACTTTTCTGTCATACATATTAGAGTTGCCACGAATAGTGATTTAACCGAATACCGAATGTTCTGCAACGCTATCGGCCGAAGCGCCGAATATTCGGCCGCCGAACATTCGGCACTAAGTACATGTTTGTCGAACGCAAAATCATGTCGCGACCTGTCTCACTCAAGCGCTAGCGGGCGTGTGGCGTGCGGCCATTTGATTGTTTGTTTCTATTGCGAGTAGGCACGTCAGGGCACGCTTTGTCAGTTCATTATAAAAATAAACCATCACCTACGATGTGTATTTTTTGTCCACGATTTGGTATTCGGTATTCGGCCGAATAATAAGTACTATTCCGGCCGAATACCGAATACCAAAAAAAGTGGCCTAATACAGAATAGTAGCCGAATATTAGTGGCATCTCTAATACATATATTATATTCTATTGATATCACAATTAATTTATTTTACAATTTAAATTCTGATCTCACGAGTTTTATTTCAAGAGAATAATAAAATGACAGCAATATCACCCCCAAAAATGTTTTATGCAACCAAATTTGTTTTTCAACCAAAACTTACTTCAATCGCTTCATATACGCCATAGCCTGGATGTCACAATTGGCCGTTTGGAGAGCAGCCTCGAATTTCTTATATTCTTCTTCATTTAATTGCGAAGTACACAGATAATATATGATGAAAAGACGCATTTTGTCTTCTGGAGTACCGGCTTCCTCATCAGAGATAAGATCTAGTACAGTTTTGCTCTCAACTGCGCTGCTTTTACTCATTATTTTCTCTTCCAATTCAAAAAACGAGTCCAGCCGCCTGGATTTTATTACGTTTAGTATAGCTAAAATGTGGATTAAAATAGTTATTATAAGTCTGGACTGATAACTGCTGCAGTAAGCTTTTTCTTTGCACCGGCCGCGCTTACGCTACGTCACCGATGTCATCTCAGAGAGATGTGAATACGCAATATGCGTTCCGTCCCACTCTAACGCGTATTGGCCGCACCTATATTACGTCATCGTGTGTTAGGTTTATTTCGTTACGGAATTTCTTGATTCGGTCGCCGCGCTCAAAGCCCGCGATAAAATCTATGCAACAGCTTAAAAGTATAATTATATGTATACAACATTCCAATACAAGTGACATAAAAGGCGCATTTAGTCTAAAGTGGACATACTTAATTTTTTTGTAAGTAGTGTTAATCTCTTTATAACGAAATTTAAGGGACCGAGCATGTTTTTTCGTTATAAGGAGGGAAGAGAAAAAAAAAACAATTTTTTGAATAGAAATTATTGTAATTGGTTAAATTACAATGAGCTCATGTATCTTTACTTAAAATTTCGTCAAAACGAATGACGTTGTAAAGAGTTACACTGTACATGCAAAAAAAAGATCTTTTATTAATTGTTTGGGATTGCAAATACGTTAGAGTGTTGGCCCAGCGGCTTCTGCGTGCGACTCTAATCCCTGAGGTCATAGGTTCGATCCCCGGATGTGCAAAAATGGACTTACTATGTGCGGATTTATCAATCACTCGTACGGTAGAAGAAATCATCATTAGAAAACCGGCATGCCTTAGACCAATCTAAACTTGCTTAGGTTGTAACGGCACTGGTTTTTTGTTAACTTTTAACTGCCTATCGTACAACTAGAATTTGGCTTGACGTTTATTTATATGTTCTGTAATAATAATAGCACAAACCTGTAGCTATAGTAGTGTGCATATCGATTAGCCGTTTTTTCTCCATAAGCTGTGGCAACGAGTTGACAGCGCTTGTCAACCTCTGAGTGTTATCGCTGACCAAACTAAGAGCTAAATCGCTATCTGCATCTAAACCCATTGAGCTTTTCAGCTTTTTCACTTCTGCTTCTGAACTCCTATTCAACATAACAGTAATTCATAATCCATGTGATTGTATAACAAATATAAATTTCTGAGCGCTAAGTGTGACTCCCGTATGTCAAAACCTATTGGATTTGATGTTTGGGAGTTGCAACCATAAAGTATTGACCAGAAATACTGATCTAATAAAACAGCAATTAAAACAAAAAATAAAATTTTGTAAGTACCTATATTTATCAAGATCCTCCTGAATCGCTTCAGCAACGGTTGGGAATGGACTGCCCTTATGTTCACACCAGAGAGGATCTTTGGAGTCCAAATCGCAAGTTCTGGTTTTCATTTTCTGTCCAGGTAAAGCTGGACCAGAGTTTTCTGGTACTACAGCTCTGCAACAAAAATATTGTCGAAGCTCAGTATTACAAAAAATATGCTAAAACCGGTTAAATCACAATATTGGTACATTTTTCAGAACAACAATTGTTACAGATACCGGCAAACATCTTGAACATTAAACAAGGGAGTGGGGGAAAGTTTAAGCAGCGCGGAAACAAACGTCAACTGATTTACCAATCACGCGATCGTCACGTCACTCTCCCGCCGCCGCACACCACCGGCCCCACTCCCAGTGATACCTAAAAATCGCTTCTGCGCAGGCAAGGATATTTGTTCAAGATGTTTGCCGGTATCTATAAGTTAGTAAAATTCAAGCACTAAAGTGCCCCTCATAAAAATAATATAGCCTTTTATTCAGATTGACTTAGGTATACACATAAACATAGATTATTATATTAAACTAGGTATTAGAAGGTTAAAAAAACAATTTTAATATTTGGATCTTGCTTGATTTCTGCAGATCTGTTTGCCAGTCGGTAAAGGCCTCCTTCAACCTTTTACAGTTGTGTCTTTCATGGGTCACTCTGTTCCACATCACTCCTGCCACTTGTCTGATGTCGCCTTCCCATTCTTTTGTAGTCTTCCTCTACTCCTTTTGCCTTCCCTAGGGTATCATCGTGTCATTTTATTACATTTGTCTTTTCCTCTTATCACGTGTCCAGCCCATCGCCATTTATGTCTCCTTATTTCTTGACTTTTGACTTGTCTCTTATTGAATGTGCCCCTATACTCCATTCAAGCTATGAACTAAAATTCAGACCTAGCTTAAATTTTAATATACCTGTTTAGTGAAAGATCGAGTACATCATGAGCCAGGGCCTGGTAAGTCCAAGTGTGATGAAGAGGTGTAGCCATATCAATGTTCCTATCCAAAAGTATTAACATGGGCCTAGTGAAACTAAAAGCGCTCCCTTGTCCAGTATTTCCATGAAAAAGATTATTTCTAGCATCCCAAAGATTCTCCCTAAGCTTTTTATCCAGTTTTTTTGCAACCATTTCTGCAGCATTTCCTTTACTGCTTCGAATAATTGGTACAGTGCCTGAAAAAATATAATGACATCAGTGAAATGAAGCTGCAGCTATATTTCTATTAAAAAAAAAGGGTGCGTGTACTTATGTACGCGCGTAAGAAGTTATACTTCTTTGGCATTATTAAAAATAGTTTTTGATTGCATGCAAATAATTAATTACAATTAAATAATCAAAGACTGGAAAAGGAGTCATTATAGTCAATTAAGTTCAGTTTACACTTGAAAAATTAAATAAATAATTATTTATTATTATTCTCTTACATTAAGTGTAACATAAATTCTATTTAGTTAAAAGTATATATAATTATATATTTAGAACATCTCTACCAAACACTAAGAAGTATGTTGTAGCTTTGGCAGTATTGCACAATATAAAATTAATAAATTTCTTTGAAAAAATAATCAAAACTCCTTTATTTGTTTAAAAGGTAAATGACAAATGTCATTATGGTCATTCAAAATTCTTGGCATACGAACTTCACGCATATTCTATTTCTTTTTACTTGTAGATTGTCTTATTCCTATCTCGCTCGCGCACGCTATAATCACACTCCCAATTTTGTGTCACAGGTGCGCGCGCATCGTAAAATTTCACTCTCATAAATTTTTCATAACGCGCCTAAAGAAGTATAACTTCAAAAATAATGTAAATTTGTTCGCTATTCAATAGAAGTGAAATGGTAAACAAAAGAGTAATTAACCCATGGCTATATTTTTTTTTAAGTTATAATATATTTTATATGCTAGTTTGTACCCATTGAATAACTATGATAGCCAAACTAAATTAAAAATCTATCTTTTGCGTTTTGATGGCAGTGGAGTTGAAAATATAATAAAATATCACAATGTTTTCTTTCTTAAAATATATTTTTCAAAATAATTTAAGACTTACCTAGAGTTACAAAAACGGAAAACAAACTTTCCACTATATCATCCATGATAGCCTCCATTTCTGTATCTTTTGTGTCACCTTTATTAATGGCTAAGAAAGAAATTAGAAATTAATAAATAGAATAGCAATATATAATCAGAGAGTATCTATTAAGCACTATCTGTTGTAAAAACAGCTTTGTTTATCAAATTCACTATTATAATTGTCCTGTTCCTGTGTGTGTGTGTGTGATTTATACATACCATAATAAGATAATGAATCTGATTGCTGGTGTTTCATAATAAATAGATCATCCTCTAAACAGATAAAATTCAAATACTGATCAAACAGTTTATGTATACTCATAACTGAATTAGACTGTATGGCAGATGCTGCAAGATCTTCCAATTTCTGCCTTGTTATTGGTGAAATAAAGTTTAAGTGATACTGGTCATAGACACCATTATCTAAATCTTGGCAAATTCGTCCCAGATTCTCTTCAGTAGGTGCACAGAAATATACAGCTGGCACTTCAGGAATTTGGTCTCTGTCAGAGTGCAACTGGCTGAAATTATTTGTTTGTTACATTAGCTTGTAGCTTAATAAGTTTTACTATTAGGACAAACATAAGTACATAATTTTAAATATGAGATTCACAATAAAGTATATTTTTCTAATAAGAAACATTTCATATATATATAGCTAATCGAGACTCAAACAGTTTTCATAAAAAAATATGTCTAAGCTCAGCATAATTCAAATTCATATATTCAACTCTCTATTAAAAAACATTGTCCCGAGCATTTGCAAAAAAGTTTAAAATTTATATATACTTACACATGAAGTGTAACTCCTAATTCTCTCAGTTCCTTAATAGATATTAAGGGGGAAATAATATCCTGTCCCACCCTGTCATACACAAGTACCTTCCATGTAGGCTCATTAGCAACTGCTTTAGTTAGAGGTTGATTAAGATTTAACATTTGCTTCAAAGCATCTGAAAATAAATTTTTGTGGTATAATTAAAATTGTATAATGACTTGAAATATTTGATGTTATTTTGTATAATTCCACCGTAAATTATAGTAAAAATGAGTGGCGAATTTAGGCAATTTAAATAAATGTATCAATTTTGAGGTAATTTTAATAAAACTCACTTAATTGTCGTTCGCGTAAGGTAGACATTATAATTGGTTTATTTCATATATTATGATGAAAAATTATAAGTCTATAGTTACACTTAAATAATATATTATGATTTTTCACTTCATTATTTACGAACCACAATTAAACTTAAATAAAATTTGATCTTATTTCTTTTAGCTGGAAATCGGAATGTAAATGTTTAGTGTTTAAGTCAAATTCTCGAGCGACACGTCACATATATTAACGAAATGTCAAATTCTCTAAACTTTTGAAGTGACAGACTATAAATTACAAGAATACGTATTATAGAATATAAGGTCACGGAAAAATCGATTATTTTTTTAAATAATAATTTGTCAGTACATTATATTAATGTTTTGTCCTAATTCGTGGAGCGAGGAAAGCATCAGTACTGGGGTCACCAGTACCATCTACCAGGCGCTAACTTATCTTTAATTAGCGCTTGTGAACTTAAACCCCTCAGCCCAAGACTTTCTACTCCAATGGGAACAAAATCAATGTTGGAGACTCTTGTATTTTTGCCGTTTATTTTTTCCACCTGCTGTGCGGCCCCTCCAGCTTTGGTACTTAACCGAGCTTTGCCAGCTTAGGTTTCCTAGAAAAGCGGTGCCGTTAACTAACGGCCGTCATTTTACGGTTGTTAATAACGGCCGTCTTTACTTTTTAACATAATGCAAAAAAAACATCATTTTCGCTCATCCAAGTCATGTTTCCACTCATTGTATTAATTAAATATGGGCACCGCTACACGCAAAAACGTTCCACTCAACGTTCTCTAGGAAACCTACTCCGATGTTATTTATAGACAACGTATGGGTGACGGCACCCAACGCTACATTACGGCCGTTAGATAACGGCACTGCTTTTCTAGGAAACCTAAGCTTAAGGCTAACATGTCTACACAATTAACATCCCGTCCCAAGGCCCGTCACATCCTCCAAGGGATCAATGACTCCTATCCGGCGGCTAGCCATGCCTGTTGCCGTTAAAATGGCTGGAATATTGACGGAGGCAAGAAATTGGCGTATGATGCCGTTGAGCGCACCGTGGCAAAAACGACTTGCACTCTTTGGTGATGAAGGCCATGGTGCCCAAGGCTACTTACTTTACTCCTAAGCGAAGACTGATAGTAATTCGAAGTTAATCTTTTCCTAATAAAAAGAGGGTAATAGCTGGGCTTATCTCCCCGCAAAGCATTATTATAAGCTTATTAATAAAAGAAAATAGTGTCGTCCAATCGACTTTTGGCGTTAAGAATTTCATCAGTTGACCGCATTTGAAGGCAGGCCTGGGGGCCTACCATGAACTCTTATTGCGAGCCTATTAACAACCTACAACTGAGATGCATCGCTAATTCGTACCATGACATCGAAAAAACGAGACATTTTATGTTCCCACGTGACCTTAGCGGTTATCAGATTCAGATTTCGTTCGTTCAATTTGTATGAAAATCCGTACCATGACCGCTCGGCTGAACCGAAATTTGACAGTCGCGCCTTCCAACTATGACAGAATAAGCGATTCTAAAAAAGTTACTTTTTGTTCAACTTTTTTGTATCGAAATGTCCAAATATTAGTTTAGAACCTATAAAATTTAATATTTGTATTAAAACTTGTGAATAAAGTTAAAATAATAAGATTTATCTACTATGGCTAATATAGGAAAAAAAATATAATTTTTATATTTACGATATTTTGGGGTATTTTGAGTTTTGATTATAAATAAATTATTAAAATATAGACGGAGATGAAAACAAGACGGCAATGCCCTTCCGACTACCGACTTCGTAGATATTGAGTTTATAATTTACTATAGATTATTGACTTTGATAATTGATTCATTGAAGATTTCAGTGTACCTACAAATAATTGCACATTGTTCAATAATATTCAATTAATTATTTATGCATGTCTAACAAAAACATAATCCCCCAATATAATATCATATTTTACAATAAATAAGAATGCCATATTACTAGCAGATATTTATTATAATTAAATTTTTCCTCATGTTCATGAATTGTATTATTCTCCTCTACTTTTTGTTGTTTAAAAAACATAGGTATTTTTAAATTTATAATGTGTAAATAATAAGCCATTTAAAAATATTATAATAACAGTATTTATTTAGTTAGGATGACTCCATCAAGATAGAAAAAGATGTCTTCAGGCAATGTTCAATTGGTTATAAACATTTATTCATATAGTCTCAATTAAGCGATTTTGTCAGGTTAAGCTGTAAAGAAAATTATTATTATTATTATAGCCTCTTTATTTCCATAATGAATAACATATTAAACAAGTATGTCATATGATTAATTATTACATAATATGTGCATGCATTAAAAAATACAATATTATTATTTATAATCTTTAAATTATATTCCAATCATAATTAATAATTTCAATGTATATAAGTTTGAAATGATAAATAAATTAATAAGAATCAAAAACAAAATTCATTTTTATAAATCATTATAAAGTATCATTAAATCGTTATGGACCCCTCTACGGGTAAAGGCCTCCTCCATTTTGCTCCACATCTGTCTGTCTTTTGCTTTGGTGGTCCAGTTTTTCTTTTTATTTCATCAATCCAGTTTTACTTTGGTCTACCTCTTAATCTTTTTGTTGGTTCTCGCCAGGTTACCCTTGGTGTCCATTTTTCCTTGTCCATGCGAGCAGTAAGACCCGCCCAATTACATTTTTTGTCTAAAGCGTCTATTATTTTTGTTGTTTTCCTTATTTCTGTATTTCTCTTCCGATGTTGTCTTTGTATGTTTAGTAGACTCCTTTCCATCGTTCTCTGGCACACTTGTATTTTGTTTTTGGTGTAGTTATTGTAAATCCATGTCTGGAAGGTATTAAATATGAGTCCATAATTTTTTTTCTTAGGTTTAAAATTCTGATTTAAGGGTTTCTTTATTGCTCCAGGATTTATTCCAGGTTATGTTGACTCGTCTCTTAACCTAATCGTCGTGTCTTGTCTTTGAGAAAGATACTTGTTGACCCAGGTAAACATAGTTTTAAACATATTGTAATGTACTGTTATTATCCTTTATTGGAATAGTTTGGTGGTTCGTCATAATAATAATCTTTCATTTGATAGAAAAGATTTTGCATTGTAAGTGCTTACATCGAAGTTTTGTAGAGGAGATGGAAGGTTGTAGTCATTATCCCCCGCGGTGACCAGCCGTATTGGGAGATTTCATAGAAACATCTGTCGAAGTAAGTTTATTATGTGCATGGCAACACTTTTACAAACAGATTCGTAGTCTCGTTATCAAGCTATTTTCATTCCCGTGGAATTCCTAGAAGTAGGTCACGCCTGTGGTCGTGATTTAGCCTTATGTCCCAGTCTTCTTCCCCTAAATACAATATACCAAAGACTACATATACACCAAATATAAGTCGGTTATCGAAAGCTGGCGCGTTCACAGTACTCACACTTAAATGTAATTTCACTATACAGTATGTTTAAAAATATGACTTTTTTGCCAAGCTATATATTTTAGTCTACTCTGGTTTTAGTAAGGTTGGGTGGGTTGTAAATAAATAAATATGTGTCAAATACATATAAATATTATGTGCATACGAGGGTGGATCCAAAAGTTCTAAGCCCGACCAAGAACGTAAAAGAGTAGTTTGTGTAAATAATTTTTCATTTTTCCACATAAGCTCCATCTAGCTCAACACAATTAACTCTTACTTCACTAACAATTACTTCAATACTCCTCTTAGAAACACCAGTCGCATCTGATGTCAAATTAAAAATTACATTTTTTCATTAAACTGTTTTTATTAAGATGCTTAAAATAATTAAAAACATTGTACACCATTTCACGAGATTGTCCTGGTAATGTTTAGACGGAATATATTCCATACGACATTTTTTTCTAACGTAAAGTATTCTAACCTCCAACCAAATAAGTAAACAATCACAGACAAAATAATAATGAGAAAAAAGATCAACATGTACAGTAAAGATCAACATAAACAGTAGTAAAAACAAAACAATAACTGTCTCTTTTATAATCATAAGCTTGACCGAGCGCGAGAGAGACGGACAGTCTTTTCATGATGCATATTCAGTTTGACATCGAACCTCGCGCTTATTCACAGACACTACACAAGCACAAAGTGTAAATATGTTGAAGCCGCCAGCTTTTGATAACATACCAATAGACACATTTATAATTAAGGGTTAATTAAACTTCATACTTTTTAAATTAAGAGATTGATATATTTAAAAGATATTAATCTAACAATCAGATATTATGAAATGTTTTGACGTATTGATGTTTTTATCTAAATCATGACAACTTAGAAACTCTACTATAGTCCAAAACATTCATCTATAATTCTAGTCTCCCAATCAATTTCCATGTTATTGTTTGGTTGAATTAACGGTCTATCTTGTGTGTTTTGTTGCTCCACTCTGGAATTATGGTCCTGCTGAATTCCTGTATTTGTTCCGTCATCTTGAGAAAAATCAATTAAATCTAAATTCCCCAAATTGATTTCCATGTTATTGCTTGGTTGAATTAACAGTCTATCTTGTGGGTTTTGTTGCTCCACTCTGGAATTATGGTCCTGCTGAATTCCTGTATTTGTTCCGTTATCTTGAAAGTAGTAGTGTTCATTTTCATGTTCAATAATTTGGGTATTTAAGCAAGGTGACACATCAATTGGAGTTTCATACATGCTATTTGTAAGGTAAACATTATTCGCATGAAAATTATTACTGGTGTTTTCGATATAGTAATTTTTTTGAAAAAGATAATTAGATGGAGTTGCATCAGGATGAGTTTGCATGTTTTGAGTATAGAAGGAGTTACTTGTGCTGGGTGTGTTATAAACTTCTTGGGCCGCCGTTACAGTATTTTCTTGGTCTCTCGAAATGCTCATTGTTTCACCTGAAAGTGTACAAATCTTTATATTTATATCTAGCAAATGTTATTATCTTTGATAATTCGTATATTTGCATACTTTCTCTTTATATGTAGTATCACTATTAAAAATTATATATCACATTACAGATATACTTAGCAGTAGTTATACTTACCTAATTCGGCAATCAAGCTGTAGGCAACCTTTTTTTCCTTAAGCATTTTCAAATATGCTTCCTCTGAATAATCTGAAATATAATTTAAAAAAAAGTATTGGTTTATACGTAGAGGAAAACATTTTAAACTTAGATGGCTGCCTATCTTAATATCTGCCTTGATTTAAGTGCAAAATACAAAGGCTAACAACTATTTTCATGGAAAAATACATGTGAAACTGGTGCCATGTCCATTGTCCATGGCCTGCCCAAGTTCAATATTAGTCGTGACGAATTTGAATGCCTTCGCACGTAAATGATTTTTGACGTTTCATTAAACAACGCATTCATGCGTATATACACAATATTGCGTATAATTATAAACAAAGCTAAAAATAAATTAGGTAAAATGTTATAAATAATTGTGTGGCCATCTTATAAAATACATAAAAAATCAATATTTACCTGAATCAGGATAGAAAATTCTTTTATACACAAAACCTCGCATATTCTCAGAAAGAGTTTCATCGTTATTTGATCTCACTTTGACTGCAAACTAAAATAAAATTATATTTTAATCAGAGGTACCACAAAAGAAGGATTTAAAATTACAAATTACTTTAGTTTTGTTATAAATCCAGATTTAAGCCACACCACTTTGGTGGCTCCACGCTCCGCTTTTACTAGGAATTTTTGCTTACTAGCGAACTGTGTAGTCGGCTTCCGGCTTTGAAAAGAGAGCTTACTCCTCCCTTAAAGGCCGGCAAACCACTCACTAAAATATGTGTATATGTCCTGCGGTGGTTGTCTTTTGTGGCTCTTCTGTAGGCTCTTTTCCCCTCCAATCTTATAAATAAAACAATACCTCTTTCCACCCAGCAGAATCATCGAGAGAGATTTTAGGCGTGTAACATATAAGTACACCATAGCCATTAGATAAGACATAGGGCTGAGTCCTTTCTACTTTTGCGGGGATCTCTTTGGAATCCTTATCCATAAATATAACACTAATGTTGTCCGTTTTCTTAATCTAAAAATTACGGTCAAGTTAAAAATTAAATCAGATTTAACATAAAATGTAAGAATTGTAGAAGATTATGTAGCGACACGTACAATCAGCAACAAACGGAACGATGTCGTGTCCAGAATTGAGTTATTAAAGTGTTTTTGACTATTTCACTGACTGTTGACTTTCAATGACTGAGCATTGAGGCCACCAGACCCGACAGTCATTTCAGACTAACCAAGGAACTGGTTGCAGGAACAGCAGATGTTAAATATGTCCTTAATGTTAAAGAACAAGGAAATTTCTAATAAAATATAACGACGAGTGCCAAGTTACTAAGTTTTTTAAAAATAAAAAGAAAACTCTACATACAACTTACTCTCTTTATAATCAGCATTATTTTTGTATTTCCTGTTATTCTGCCCTCATCCGGACACATTTCAAGAATATTTAGATCACTAACTGCTAGATAATCAATTAATGGCTCACTTATTAAAGGTTCCAATTCCATGACGCGACCATCTTTTTTCAGCAATACTTGAAAACAAATTCTAACACAATCCATATTAAACTTTGAGGGAACGATGAACTTTCCTGAAAAAAAGCGCCTGTCTTAAAGATACATTCAAGAATTTCAGGTTAAAAAATTACGTAAATGTGAAAATATACCTATGTAGGAAAACAAATGTATTTTATTAAAAATAATAATCAGGAAGAAGTGGCAATAATGATATCAAAAGCTTGGAATAGCTAATAAAACTTCTTTTAATGACCAAGTTTTAAAAGGAAATTACATATTCTCCCCTGGTCTACGAGAGCGAAACCTGGACGATTACGGAATGAGCGAAGTCGAAGGTGACTATTGCCCAAAAAGCATTGGCCGATACATAAGCATCCTAAGAATCAAAAAGATTAAATACGTTCAGAACAGGGCGAAAACTAAGATCACAGACGCGCTAACCAACGCCTTCCAGCTGAAATAGGCAAGCCACATCGCAAGCTGTACAGACAAAAGATGGACCGCCGAACCCGCTGGAGGGGGCTTCCAGGAACAGGAAACGTGGGAAGACCACAAAAGCTTACGACATCATAAAAGTTTCTGGAGAAAAATAGATGGAGGAAGCAAAGAACAGATCCAAATGGAAAGTTTGGGGGACGCCTTTACCCAAAAAGGGTCCATATACTGAAGAACACAAAGTAAATAAAAAACAATTTGTATGACTCAAAACTTAGCGATTAAAAAGAGTGACGGAAAGTTTCTTGCCAGTACTTCTTGCCCGCTCTACGCCCTTGACTTGCGAACTGGTAGTAAATGTAAATTTAGAATTAATTTAACTTCTTTTTGACGATTCATAAGTGTACTTGTTTACCTATATGAATAAATTTATTTTGAGTTTGAATGGAAATAACAATAACTAACGTAGACTAAGTGTGTGTAATAATAAAACTAAAACCAATCTGATTTGTTTTTTTTTGTAGTATGAAATTACAGTGGCTTTATTATTATTATTATATATTATACATTCGTTTAGTTGCAATAACGAAACAGACAAATGCAGGTATATAAAGACGTCAAAATTATCCCACGAAGAATACCAGAAGGAAACAATATCTTGTGTATCCATATTAGTTTCCAAGAACCTATCTAACTCCATATCCGTAATAACTAATATAGAAAAAGGAAATAAAACTAAAACTAAAGTTGTTAGTATTAAATTACTACAATCAATAAAAATGTTCCAGTTCGGCTGAAGTGTGCTCAAAGGCTCATAAGCATGTGTAGAGGCCGGGGACCACATACCCACCCACCTCGATTCGAATTCTAGGCTAGCCACCTAATAAAGTTCACAATGAGTTGGCCTCTTGACAAATTACCCAAGAAACCCCATGCGACCATTTGCCAATCGCCATACTAACCTCCAAAAGGATTGTATCTGGCACCGGCTATCCTCATAAATCTCGATCTTTTCCATAACAGCTCTTCGATGGCTGTCTCATCTTTCTTAATTCGCTGTAAAGCAATATCCTTGAATATCTGCGTTGTCTGACCGGATTTTATTGTCACATCAACTACACAGACTCCATCCTCACATTTTGGATGCCGCACAATTTTATTTGGATGAGGTCTAAAATTTAATTGTATTCGTGATATTTATTTATTACTATCTCGTGTATCTTATCAATAAATGAAAAAAAAACATTAGAAGGGTCATTTATTGTTAGGCATATGCTAAATATTTAGACCTTAATTATACAAAATTTAAATAATATTTAACATAGAACATAATATAATGTCGCTTTTACGAATTCGCACTGTGAACCAATGAAAATATTGATATTTTCGGAGACAGTATTGGAGGTACACGCAACGTATTTCTTAAGAGACATGTGGGGTCTCTTTGCATCTTCTACCACATTTACCATGGAGAGTGTTCAGAGAAGTTGTTGGGATGAATATCTGCAGCTGAGTTTCATCATGGGACGTAAATTCAGAATACAAAATACCATCCGTATCACTGCGACTTCCGTCGTTCCACTAGCGGTCGTTGAGCGTTTGTTAAGGCAGTTTTTGCCGCTCACCAACACAATGTGGAATCATCTGCCCACAGATGTAATTCCGAACCGTTCTACTGAGGGTCCTTCAAGAAAAGAGTGTACTAATTATTATAAAGCCGGCAACGCACTTGCGAGCCATCTGGGAATCGAAATAATCTACTAACGATTATATCCTTTACAAATATGTTATTACCATACATAATAGGTACTTGCAATATACAATATTATACATACATGTGTTTTCCGTTGACGTCGTCAGTGAAGCAAGAAACTAGGACTGTTGCGGTTGTGTCAAAAGGACAATGGATTTTTATTGAGGGAAATGTTCGCCTTGAACCATTAGATTCTCCGTAAATGGTGGTACCATTGCGGTCCTTCTCCTCATAGCGGAATCTAAAAGAAATAATTATTTCTTAAAAGTTTAATCATGTATTTTCCTATTTTCTAAATACTATAATACGCCTTCTTAGCCATATATATTGTTTCAGCATACATTAAATGGATTGAGGCAGACAGATAAAACAAACTTTGAGTTTTACTTTAAAGCATAAACTTTACATATTTTAGACGAAAACATATTTAAAAGCTTAATAATTACTAAGTGAAGAAACCATTCAAATTAATATGTTTACACGTGATCGTCGTTTATCACTCGAGTGCCATCTAGCGGCACTATTTGAATGTAAAAACTCCACTCTCAACATCACTATTTTACATCTTTGAGCAATGAGCATAATTTTTTTTTTAGAGTCGTGTATTTATGTATGTTGAATTTTGAGTATCATGAATTATTTTTTTGCAATTAGTTTATACTTATTGCTACTTGAGCGGATCAGGCCTTAACGAATTTGCACAAACAATGCTGATATAATAAACGAATCTCAATCAAACGAACTTACTTGAAATATCTTTTAGCCACATTCACATCAAATTCAACACGAGGCTCATAGTTATTGGACATCATATTATCTGAAAAAAATTATTAACATATTCTAATTAATGAAAAAGTGCGACCCTCAATTCAATGTAGAGTTCGACAGCGTACTCGTACGTCGAATACATCGCGACGAAACCGTAAAACATCGTGTATTTATACGCAAAGAGCGACGATGTATGACAGGTAGGGAATGCGATCCCGGGATCGGGATCTCGCGAGATCTCGTGCCATTTTTCGAGATCAATCCCGAAGCTTAGCTATAACTAAAGCTAAACGATATTAAGAGGCTATCTCGGAGCGTCGAATATCTATATAATATATTGAAAATCCCTGTAATTATAATGATGATTGGCCTCTAACATATATCTATCGCATGGTTGAGTCTGAGAGCCGCGGTACTTAGCGACTAACATAAGATGCCGTTTATCAGACAGCACTCTCGATACTCCTAGCTTGATGAAACAATACCAATGAAACTCATTTTTTTAAACTGTTGTGCAGTCACTATGATGATGCAATATGGTACAATATTATATTAGTTTGTATAAGTACATTATTTTATTGAGTGTGTTAATAAATCTTTTTTTTTTTCAATAAAAATCTATAAATAACTGTAACTCGTAAAAATATTCAACGCAAATATTCCAAGGACATACTGATGGGTAGATATTTGTTATCTACTGCTACAGACAAGACTACAGAGCATTGTTTGAATTGCACTAAGTAGATAAATACTTATTAATTACTAAATATTACTTCACACTCAATTATTTGGAATTGTGACATACAAAGTTCGTTATGGAATTTTTTCATCGCTTTTGTGTTTAAAATAGATAAGCTTTTACGCGAAATAATTTGGATAACATATGTTGATGATACTCAATTTACATTCAGGGTCAAGAAGTCTAAGGGCGATAGAGCACTAGCGGCCAAGCCGCAACTCGCAAGGCTCGCGGCCAAGCACAGAACGTTACTTACTAACAGTTTGATTTTGATAATTTTATCTACTTGCAAGAATGGAGGGAAGCACATATAATAAACACTTAAATTTTGTCGATATGTGGGCGTAAAATTATAATAATGAAAAATTTTGAACCTAATTATCTAAAGATTTTGTTTTTGTTTCCTTTTTGTCGCTTTCGCGTCTTAAGAGATACACAGTAATTATTTAAAAACTTTTAAATTGCGATAATGATTTTTATTAATTATAATATAATAGGTAATGGTCAGTTTTCACCAATCGTTAACGTAATTTAATAAGTAAAAACTCACCCAATTTATAAACAGATTACAGAAAAATCTACCTTTCTATGTTTTATAAATTAGTATTAAGTATTAATTAATCAACACTTTCAGAAGCGATGATACAGAAATTCACACTTCCTCCGTGGCTAACTAAATCCGTACTAAATTATATTCTTTACTACTGAAACGTCACAGTTGTAACGTTGACGTTTCCCATTCGGAGCCCCACATCGCAACAATTCTGCTAGAATAGATGGGTTCATGCGATAACAGAATCTGGAAGATTCCAATTCAAATTATAGTTCCGCCTTTTACCACTAGGCCGAATGCCATTTAGTAAAGGAATATTTTGCTTTAATATGATATATTAGTGTAGGTGATTGATTAACGTGTCGTAATGAAACAGTGATGTGCTCTGACAAGAACACATCAGAATAGATACGGTCGTGTGTTCTGAAAAGAACAGTTTCATCGTGTCGTAGGACACGGTAATATGTCCTGACAAGGACAGTTGTTAAACGTTTTGTCGTGAAACAAGAATAATATGTCCTGAAAAGGACAGTTGTAGACGTTTAGTCGTGATACGATAATTTGTCCTGAAAAGGACAGTTATTAGCGTTATCGCAAGGTTACGATATCGAAGTGTTCTGAGAAGAACACGTTCGTACGCTTAGATGGCTGCGTGCAGAAAAAGGCCAACTTTTTGCCGCGCCGCATTTTTATCGCCTACTCTGGTACCTGCGCAACCAATCAACGCTCCGCATCTTGGTACCACATGTCAATATTAGTTGTAAGTGTAGGATAATTTTTAAGTATAATTGTACACAGTTTTGTAAATAAATATCATTCATTATTCCATCTTCACCTCTTCTCTACAAGTAATTAGGGAGTTTTATTTTAACATCGACCAAATAATTCTGGAGCAATCTACCTCAAGCAAATATCCCTAAAGTGGTGACCCCGTGAAGAACAACCCCGTGAAGAACAACCCCGAGAAGAACATCCCCGAGAAGAACACCAAGAGCATTGAAGATGTCAACAACAGAAAATTCCGGTGCAGAGCGTCTAACTTCATCAACACCGTCGAGCCAGGAAGTCTCCGGTATTTCACTGTCGCTCCGCGTGCCACCACCTCATCCGCAACAGCCAGCCATCGACACACTCATCGGTGAAATAAGAAGATTGTCTTTGGAAGTTGCTGAGCTACGAGCACAACCTCGCGACAACTACCGCAACAGTCGCTCTCGCCACCGTTTACAATCACGCTCGCAGAACGCATCTACAAATCGTAACGAAAACCAACGAGAGTCGCAGATGGAAGACCGAAACCGAAAAAAATCTCCAATGCCGTACTGCTACTACCATCAACGCTACGGTATGGACGCGAAGAAATGCGCACCACCATGCAGTGTCAAGCCCATTAACCAGTCGGAAAACTAAAAGTAACGCTAGCCGCGGCGGGAACTGGCGTTACCGAATCATCACACCGCCTTTTCGTTACCGACAGGGTAACGAAACTTACCTTTTTGGTCGACACAGGAGCCAATATCTCCGTGCTACCAAAGAAAAAGGGCTCACGCGAAAAACCACTGCCGTTTCAACTCTACGCCGCAAACAACACTGTAATTCCTACATACGGAGAGAAGTCACTCACACTCGATCTTAACCTCCGAAGACCATACACATGGAAATTTGTCGTAGCAGATGTGTCCAAGCCAATCCTGGGAGCAGATTTCTTACAGTACCACCACCTCATTGTCGACGTAAAAAACCGACGATTGATCGACGGGAAAACACAGCTGGTAACTAACGCTCAACTCAGTACTTCGGGCATACCTACAGTTCGCAGTATAGACGTTGGGCAAAATTACCACAGCATACTAGCAGATTTCCCAGGCACAACTAGACTCACTTCAATGAAGCTTAGTCCTAAACATTCCGTCGAACACTTCATTGAAACAAATGGACCGCCTCTTCACTGCAGGCCACGCCCCATTGCGCCGCATCGCTACGAAATGGTCAGGAAAGAATTTCAAAGCATGATAAATCAAGGGTTATGCAGACCAAGCAAAAGCCCTTGGGCATCACCTCTTCACGTCGTGCCTAAGAAGAGTGGAGAGTTACGCGTGTGTGGCGATTACCGAAGGCTCAACGCTATAACCAAGCCCGATCGGTATCCCATACCACGCATACGTGATTTCACATACCAACTCGCAGGGAAGAAAATTTTCTCCACACTCGACCTCAACCGCGCGTACCAACAACTGCCAGTCAGCGAGCAAGACGTGGAGAAAACAGCTATCATAACACCATTCGGCCTTTTCGAGTTTCCGCGTATGTGTCCTGGTCTAAAGAACGCCGGCCAGACATTCCAACGTTTTATTCACGAAGTACTGCGCGAACTCGACTTCGTATTCCCTTTCGTTGATGATCTACTGATAGCGTCAATAGACGAGGAAGAGCACCGAAAACATCTACGCACCGTATTACAGCGACTCGAAGAATACGGCATTACTATCAACCCATCAAAATGTGTTTTCGGTCAGCCAACTGTCAAATTCCTCGGTCATCAAGTCACGGCGGAAGGGATACAGCCACCCCAAGAGAAGGTACAGGCTATCACAGATTTTCCAAAGCCACAAACCGTAGAGGAACTGCGACGTTTTCTCGGTATGATCAACTTTTACCGCGAAAATATCAAAGATGCCGCCACCATACAAGCGCCGCTAAATACTTACCTGCACAACATCAAGAAGCGTGACAGAACTAAGATCGACTGGACCGCTGAATCGACGCAAGCTTATGAAGCATGTAAAGAGAGCATAAAAAACGCCGCTTTACTCGCTCATCCGTCTCACCATGCGACGCTTGCTATATTCAGCGACGCGAGTGACAAAACAGCTGGTGCCGCACTCAACCAGTTTATCAACGACTCGTGGCAACCACTCGGCTATTTCTCGAAGAAATTCAGCGACGCACAGACTCGCTATAGTACCTACGATCGAGAGCTACTCGCCATCTACATGGCTGTCAAACATTTCCGAAAAATGTTCGAGGGACGAGAAATTATAATATTCACGGACCACAAGCCGCTAACTTTCGCTTACACAAAAACGAATACAAGCAGCGAATCACCGAGACGCACCCGACAGCTACTTTATATCAGCGAATTTACCACTGATATACGTCACGTCAGTGGGTCTCAAAATGCAGCCGCAGACGCATTATCACGCATCGACGCAATCACATGTCCATCGCCGATCGACTACAATCGACTTGCAATAGCTCAAGAGCGCGACAGCGATACCATTAAAACACTCGGTTTACAGAGCAACTTATCTTTCAAGGAAGTAAACCTGCCCGCGTCAAACATCAAATTACTCTGCGAAACTTCGACCTCATACATACGTCCGTACCTACCTGAAGAATACCGACGTACCGCATTCGACGCAGTACATAACGTTAGCCACCCTGGAATAAAGACCACGAGGAAATTAATTACGCAACGCTACTTTTGGCCCTCAATGAACGCAGATGTCGGCAAGTGGGCAAAAGTATGCCTACAGTGTCAGCGCGCTAAAATACAACGCCACACAACAAGTCCATTATCAATTTTTTCACCAACCGAACGATTCGAACACGTTCACATCGATATCGTTGGTCCGCTACCTACCGCGGCCACCGGTCATCGATACCTTGTGACAATGATCGACAGAGCGACGAGATGGCCCGAAGCATACCCATTATGCGAAATAACAGCCGAAGACGTCGCCAAAGCATTA